ACACACACACACACACACACACAAATGTAGGCAGGAGTATGACTAATAAGCTGCTTTACACACTACTGTATCATCTGATGAGTTTATAGATATGAACTGAAAAAGTTTTATGCAAAGGCAGCCCTGCCTAGACGCTCCGAGAAAGAAATATGAGGCCAGTGCTGTCTAGGTTACTGTCCATGACATGTCACTTTGCAAGGAGTCAGGACAAGTACCAGGCTGTACTGAGTGGACTTGAGTGGTGGTGGTTTGCAGGAGGGGTGCCATGCAACACAGTCTCCAAGGTGACAAAGACCACCTGGCGAGTGCAAGGTCCCTAAATTCCTTACTGCTTTCCAAATCCTTCCATGTCCAACTCTGTCCTGTGCACTCTGATCCCTAATATCTACGAGCTTGGTCACATGAGTACCTTCTCTCTCTGGACACCAACATCCTTCATCCCCTTATAGTCCCCGAAGCCCACACCTGCCTCTTTTCTATTTCAGGAACTTCTGCCACCATTTTGAAAGCTGTGTCATGGAATTTCAGAGCTAAAAACGGGGCAAGAATGCTTCTGATTCAACTTCCTCATTGTGCGTGGGAGGGGGGATGACTGGATGTGCCCAAGAGAGAAGGTCTGTGAAGGTGAAAACTCAAGTTTTGTCCACTGTATGACCTTTAAAAACAAATGCTGAAGTAATGTGTTTTTTCGTTCTCACATTCCCTGAAGACACACAAAGAGGCTGCATTTTAAGGAATCCTGAACATATGTACCTGATGAACACAGTCAAATTTAGAAGACTGCAGGTTCAGGTGTTCTTATAAAGGCACGTTTTTAATAGCTGCAAAATGACCTATGGTATACTCTACTGACATCAATATTTAGACCGAGGAGGAAATGCAGGAATTAAGACAATGGAGTTATAAATAGGACATCTGGAACTGAAAAGGCAAGTAGGGCAGCCCATGGGGTTTATAGTGGAGGGTGGGTCAAGACAGGGAGGGAAAATAGAAGTTTTTGGAGTTTTCCAACCAGCCACATTGGGGAAAATGTGTATGCGAATATTTTATGTACAAATAGAGGTATGTACTAACCTGTCAATTCACACTTTCTTTCTTGAGTGAAGTGACCCACCAGGAGACTTGTTTCCTGGGTTTCCTCTATTGGCCGATCTGACTCTCGCCAGGCACCATCCTCACGTTCCATGCAGTTTCTCAGATCACACTTGTGGGTATACCTGATTCCTCCTGCTCTGCTTTAGCATTTTTACGCTCCCAAAGGACAGGTTAGGACTGAACTCATTATTAGACACCCTCACCTAGGACACCCTCCAGGCAGGTCAAAGCTTGTAAAACCCCGAAGGCATAGCGAGCTGTGCGAGGAGCTGGGGCCCAGATGTCAAAAGGTGCCTCCGGGGTGCACAGGAGGACGAGGGTGACTTCATCTCAAGCCGAGAGGGCAGAACGTGCTCTGAGGCTGGGTGGGGAAACTTAAGCTCAGCAGCTGCTCTGTGCAGCTGCCACCAAGGAGAACCCAAGCTCCAGTGCAGAGGGTGGGGTGAGGGCGGCCTCACTGGCTGGGAGGCGAGTGCAGTGGTGCTGACTTGCTGTTTCCAGCCACTGAAAAGCCAGTGCCAAATCCCTCCTCACTTCTCTTGCTCCGATGTTCTTGAACTTGCTATGGGGTCAGCTAACTTCAGGAAGTGTTCTGGGAATCGTATTTAGAGGGCAGCACAGGCTGTATCCTAACACTCAGTTAAGGGCTGCCGGAACCCAGGTGACATTTCAATCCAAGCTACTCGCCTCCCGGGTTAGGCACCAAAGTTACCGATAGAGCAGTACCGATGCTGAAATACTGATGTCCCTGAAATTTCTCAAAACACTCTCCCTTCTTCCTAGCATCCTCACCGGGATTCAGCAGTAAAAGTCTGAATCCATTATGGTAGGGTTGCAGGGAACAAAGGGTGACAATGTCCTATTACCAACTGCCAGGACCTACCTGCTCCATGTATAGCAAAGCATACAGTAGGTGCAAACTCCAAACGGAAAGGTCCACAAAGTGAGAGACATACCCTACTGGACTCTCCATCCGCTCTGCCCATGTGGCAGGAACTCTAATGTCTAATTGCCTCAAAAGGAGACCCCCTCAGGATGACTGTGGTGTTTTATTTTCACGTCTTTACACTGGTTACCACTGTCACTCACTCTTTCCCCAAAACTCCAGGGCCTCCCTCTTATCTAATTATTGATCCAGGAAACCCGAGTCTCTTTTTCTATCCTGAGTTACTTGCTTGCACTCCTACACTTGATTCCTCTGAACATGACTACCCTTGGCAAAAAGATGCTGTCCCACTTTGGAGAGTGCCCACCTGCAGATTTTATAGCACCAGGCTCTCTCCTAGGTCAATAAAAGTGCAAGACTTTGGACAGTTCTGCTTTAGAACAGAAGGGAGTGACACAGAGACGTGTTCGGTTCTCATTTTGATCTTTTGCCCTTTTAACACATTGCTTTCTGGCTGGGTTTGCTTCCTGTGTCTTATCAAATAGATAAGAGTGCTGGGGCCAGCATCTCAGTGCTTTTTAGTTTCTTCATAGATGTTTAGGATCACTTAATGTGTTAATAGAATTTATTTGCTTGGAAGAGATGTTTTCAAGCAAAAAGGATCTCTTTTACGTTGCTTTTTTTTTTTTTAAATGCAAATTATACCAGGCTTTAGGAAAGCATTTTCCAGGAATGCTAGTTCCTGGGACCCTCCCTTCTATGTAAAGGCACCCCATGGCCTGAAAGAGAATAGAGTAGAGGTGAGAAAGAGCTAGTTCTGAGAAAGAGCTGGCATCAGGCTTAAAGGATGATGGAGCAGACATTCTCACGTTTAATTATTAGGGACTTAGGCTCACAGGAATGAATCACTAGGGTGTGGCAGCACATCTGGCTGTGGTTCTGGTGAGTTGTCCTTTCCTGGGTACACTCAACACTTTTCCCTGACATGTGGCCACCGAAGGACATACATTCCCTGTCTCAAATTTAAGTGAGGCAGTGGAGCGTATCAGTTAAGCAAGTCAAGATTAATATATTCCAGATACATATTTTACAAGAGCCATGCTTTGCCCTTGCCCCAACTCCTGTCATCCAACAACTCACTGTACAACATGAAGTAGCTTCCTGAAGAGTTGTGTGGGTGGAGGCAGCTCTGAGAATTAAACCCCCTCTAACCTCTTGTTGACCTGTACATTGGGCACTCAGCATTATCTAGGATATCCTCTTTCACACCCTTCTCTCTATTCCCCAACGAGGCCTTTTCTGCCTCTTCTAAAGGCTCAGTATTGATAGCAAGGAGCCTGGGAGATGAGCCCGTCCAAGTCAGGAAAACCAGATGCAGCCAGGGGACTGAGGGCGGCAGGCTCTGACCCAAAGAGTGTATGCAGGTGCATCATAACATTGTCTGTAAGCACACGGAGATAGGTGGGGTCAGGGCACAGTACTCGTGAGTCCAGACTCAGCAGCTCTGCTCCAGCTGTGCGACCTTGGTGAAGGTGCTCAACCTTCCTGATTTTAAAGGTTCCCATCAGTAAAATGGGAACCGTGCCATCTACTGTGCTGTGTGGAGGATTACATGAGATCGTGCACATGAAGTGCTTATTTTGTAAACACCGATTAAAGATAACCTAGTATTATTATATAACTGGCCCTTGCAGTGGCCAAACACTGCATAGCATACATAGCCCAATCCTCCTGAAATAACCTTGATGCATTCCCAGCCACACACCACTCAGGCTGTGGTAGAGAGGTAGGTTCTCCCCAGTTAGTCCACTGTCCTTATTAGTCATCAGTGAACATCTGCCCTGGAGGACAAGACATTAGCAGATGCACAATATCTACTCAGTGTTGTTCTTTTTTGTTATTGTGTTTTTGCGGTACCAGGGATTAAACTCAGGACCTTGTGCTTGCCAGCTCACTGTTTATATGCTTTTCACTCAAAAACACACCTCTGAAACATGGCTTATGTTAACATACAGAATTCCAAGATACAGAAGTGAGATTTATCTTTAGGAAAGAGATACTTTGTATTCCAGTTGCTTATTACTAATTTTTTTCAATGCATCTCAAATTTCTTAATATATTCCAGCTACATCTTTTACAAGAGCCATGCTTTGCCCTTGCCCCAACTCCTGTCATTGAAGAATTCACTGTACAACATGAAGTAGTTTTAAGACTCACTTGGTCTCTTGTACTTGACTACAGTAGAAAAGTGGGCTATTATATCTTTGCTGGTAATCATATATTTGATCTTTTACATAGAATGCACCTACTTGTGCAGTACTTAAATTCTCTTGGGCAAAACACTCATAGTGAATTTCTAATCCAAAAGCATGGCCTTCCAAATTACCATATAGAGACTAACAAATTTTCAGTTTAAGCAGGACAAGAGCAAAGCTGAACAGTGCTAAAATTATACAAAAAATGGTTTGTGCCTCATAAATTATTGTGAAAATTTAAATGCAGATCAAAGTTAATTAAAGCTTGCTTATTAGCTGCTTGTAGGCTAAGGCAGGAGACTACAAGTAGTTCCAGGCCAGCCTGGGCAGCTTAGTGAGACCCTATCTCAAAAAAATAAAATACTGAGGATATAGCTCAGTAGTAGAATATTCCTGGCTTCAATCCCCAGGAACCCCCTAAAAGTGGTTATTAAAATAGGCTAGCACCAAACTCCAAGTTCCTATGTGGAAAAAATAACTTTTTCCTGCTGCTTTGAACTGCCACGGGCTATGGTGAGGTCATTATTATCCCTGTTTCCAAAGCACAGTGTGCCTAGGGCTTTGGTGACTAACAGACTGCTTTTGCTGTAATAAGTGTGATAAGAGACGCAAGGGAGGAGGGTGAGCTTCTTGCCCTCAAATCACAGAATCACCTGCCATCAGGTGCTCAAGCAAAGGGAAAATACCAGCAAACCAAGTGTAATCTCGTACAATCTAAGAACCCACAGACCTACCCCTCAAATCAATTCCAGTCTAATTCCAGCTAGTGAAAGCAGGTGAGACCACTAAATAAAAGGATGGAATTCACAAGTACTGCATCTCTGCCTGACAGAACTGAGAAAGAGTGACACCGCCAACCATGCCCTGCCCCCAAACTCAGGAAGTGCTGAGCGTCACGATGTCTATTCTGATTTCCCCTAGTAACAACATGCCAGCAGCCAAGGTGCCTCAGAATCCTGGAACTATAGGAAATGAAACTCCCAGCATATCTGCTGTCAGCCTGTGATGCTCGGCTTCCTGCTGCTGTCCCCCCTCCACAAGTGTCTACCTCCTACCAGGTATCACCCGTTTATCTCACTGCCACACAGCAGATGTAGGAGGTAGGACTCACCTCAGTTTACAGACAGGAAACTCAAGGCAGTGACGTCCTGTGACATAGCTGTGTAAGGGTCACAGCTATGAAGCAGCACAACTGAAAATCAAACTTTGGATCCTCTGCTTTCAGATCTAATACCTGATAGAGATGAGTTCATAGTGGGCACTAGCCTGGCCCTGTTACAGGCAGGAATACTTTCATCTTTAATAAATTAAGAAAGGAGAGGGCCAGCGATTTAGCTCAGTGGTTCCACCGCTGGCCTTGCAAGCACAAGGACCAGAGTTTGATCCCCGGGACCAAAAAATGAGGTAGGACTCACCTCAGTTTACAGACAGGAAACTCAAAGCAGTGACGTCCTGTGACATAGCTGTGTAAGGGTCACAGCTATGAAGCAGCATAACTGAAAATCAAACTTTGGATCCTCTGCTTTCAGATCTAATACCTGATAGAGATGAGTTCATAGTGGGCACTAGCCTGGCCCTGTTATAGCCAGGAATACTTTCATCTTTAATAAATTAAGAAAGGAGAGGGCCAGCGATTTATCTCAGTGGTTCCACCGCTGGCCTTGCAAGCACAAGGACCAGAGTTTGATCCCCGGGACCAAAAAGAAAAAAGACAAGAAAGAAAGGAGGTGACCAGAGAGAAGCAAAGAGAATATGATCTCTTGTGTTTTAGTGAGCATTAATTTGTGAGTGAAGAGCTAGCATGAAGTTCTCAACTATGAAACACAGCTTCTTCAGGTCTTCCTCATTTTCCTCCCTCCAGGGATGGCAAAACAAGCAATTTCTGCTTATAGGGAGGAGTAGTAGTTCTATTACTTTGGCTGCAGGCAAGTTCTAGGAAGAGTTAGGAAAGCTCCTGTTTTGGATGGAGAAAGGCTGTGTTGTGTTTTAGACGGCCAGGCAGCCACCAAAGGAGGAAGTATTCCTTTGGGGCGTGGGTTTGGGGGCAGGAAGGACCATTGCTCAGCACACAGCCATTCTTCCCACTGTCTTCATTCATGGCGAGTCACTTGTCATTCTTCCAAAGTCCAAG